TTTCGTATTGGTCAAACTGTACTCATGTGCCGGCAAGCTCGAATTTCTTGTCGTCATTCACTTGAGCTAACTATAATAGCGGTCCATGAGGCTCGTAAACTGTAGGACAACCTCAGAACATTTGTGCCTTAAGTTTAAAGCAGAAAAATAAGGCGATCGTATTTGCAGACTCGTGACACCTTCACTATCTCAGCCAATTGAATGTTGAGAATTCGTTCTGCACTTGAAGGATTTCATTCATGATACAAGTCTCGTCGATCTGGTTTGTCCCTCGGCGAATCTCCACGGTGGCTGGTGAAATTCGACGCTCACTATGGAAGTGCTACGTGAACCTTCTCTCTATTTTTTATTCATTTGATGTTTATTCCAGCTGGTGTACAATTTCTGGCTGTATTTCGAGACCGTCTTCTGCCACTTCTTCATCGTCGAGACGAGGAACGTGCGTGACGCACCTTATTACTCGTACCTAATCCTTGGTTCACGAAATTCTCTCGGTGCACTCTCGAGGCAACATCGATAATGACAGCGAGATTTAATTCCCCAAACTTCTTCCTCAGAATTTTCGACCGAAGGCATGGCTCACTCTTATGATGCTGTCGCGCATGCAGGCCTCGCTCCAACAAATTAGCCCTGCATTATTAGAATCACTGTATATGGGTAATGAACAAATTAACAGGGGATCTCGAGAAGCCAGTATAAACAAACACTCCCGTGCGTGCGAAGACATATTCTACTCCCAAAGTCATCCGTAACGTGTCCGTATACTAATCTATCCTTCTTTGTGTCAGCTTTCAACCCTCCAGGTGTATTTAGGTTTCAATAAGGATAGAACGGCCCTAGAAACCCGTCAATCCTGCTCCATATATTCGCCGGGGCCCACTCACTGATAACATCCCCATCGTCAGAATCCGGGTTGTTGTTCTCTGCAGCACTGACCACTAGGACCTGCGCGAAGGCAACTGACAGGAGTAGAACATAGAAACTGAGTTTGTTGATGTTGACCACGGTCATGATAATGATGTTCTTCGCTGAGGTGTGGTACTTAGGATGCGTGGTTTTAAAGTGAGATCAGGAGTTACACCCTCTAAATACTTTCTAGATGTATTTCAATTGGTCACACTTCACCTCGTGAATGCTCTGATGACGACTGCATGCACAGCAGATGACTGGAGCGGACTTACTACGACTATACCAGTACATTGGAATATGCAGTGTGCAGTACCTGACGGTAGCCCACAGCAAGTTCTATGTGATGGTTCATTTACATACTTACGGTACGAGGCTCAGACTATGCGGATATGACATTCCTCGGGCCCGGGGAGCATTTGATCGCCATAAGCATAGTAAGCAACAGCATTTCTCTCTGTTTCCACTGCGAAGAATCTGGTTCTTCGCCAAGCATTCTGCACTTTTTTGCTTGGGTATCAGGAGTTTTAATGTAATGATGCTCGCCGATCAAGAGGGCGGTGCGGAATAGCTTAGGTGCACAGCGCTCATGTCCAGTAGTTCGGAAAATGGCTCCACCATTGGTGCCCACATAAAATTATTTAGATCTTCAAATTTGTTCGTACCTGAAGGCCTGACCGATGATCGTTGGCAAATAATTAGCTGTTGCCCTTGAAGCTGTGCAATCACCACCTCAAAGAAGTCAGCACTAGTTACTTAAACACAAAATGTTTGATATAGATTACAACAACAACGCCAGCTCGAGCGGCTTTCTGTGATCATCGATCATCGATCATGTCATATGTACTTAACACTCCGATTTTTCGGGTGAATATTTCTTACTAAGATCATAGGTGCCACGAGTACAGAAAAGTTGTTTCTGAGATAGTCTGTGAGCATGTGTACAAACATGTACAGACCAAAATGATGCTACTGAAGTATGGACTAGGTGGGTCTGTGAGTGTATGTACAAAGATTGACAAAGAAAGGGCTACCGTAGTAAGCTAGCTAGTATACGGGACTAAGTTGTCGGAGTGCTACTTGGTACAGGTCCAAGTGATCATTTCGTGTGTTATACACCACTGCCAGTCGATATATGCACACGCTGCTGAAAGGAGATTGAGGTCATGCCAGTTTCTGCATCGCAGTTGACCACAAGCTTGGCATAATATTCCCGAACACTGAGGATCAGGCGGGGGCCTAGCACAAACGTCTGTACGGCTGTCGAAATCCGAAGAAATCCAAGAGCAAGCTGACCGCCCGTGGAATATTCCTATATAAACGATAAGCTACAGTAGCATGCAGAGGTAAGTGAAAGATTGACATACCGCTGAGAGTGTTGGAGATAATTCAATAATGAGCTGGAAGCAAGAAACAGCAACAGAGCTACCACGTTCGACCCTTCAGTGGAAAAAAGGAATTTAATCACAATATGAGCTTACCTCGCAAAGTAAACCATGTGAGTTTTCACCAACACTGTGAAACAGTCCCCGATAATCCCTCCTGCCGGATGTGGTCGCAGTTCTCGGAAGCGCTTTACCGCAATCCAGACTGCGAGACATAGTGCGAGGACCTCCCACACAATGAAGAGTATCCAAGTAACAGAAATCAGAAGTAGGATATTTCTCCCAAAGCCAGTCGAGCATTGATGGGTGCCGGAGAGAATGAGTTCCTCTAGTATTCGTCAGTGAGCTCATGCACATTTGTTTTCATCCACAATCAAGCGTACCCCCTGAAGTATGCATCGTGGTTAGCACGGTGACCACTCCGACAAAAATTATATTTGCCAGGAAGGTGGAAATGAGAAATATCAGGATCTTTTTGGATCCTTGATACATGGCATATAACCGAGTGATGATGATGACTTGCAGCATGTTTCAGTCAAGTTAACATCACTGAGATCTCGCAAGTGCCAAGCTCACCCCATAGCATTGGAGATACAAGAACAACTGTCCAACTCAGTACGACATAGATAATCCAGCCTAACGAATCCAGTCAGTGGCCAGCCTCGAGTAGCACACGCTCCAAACAGACTTACATCTGTGGTAGTAAAGTGTGGCAGTCATTAGTGAACCAAGAAGTTAGTAAAGAACCAAACCCACTCCTACAGGGAACCACGGTTAATAGATGGAGGGGAACAGCAGGCATCTGTGTAGAAAGCTTACTGTATCTGTCAGCGAGATGGTCTGAGCACTGCCTATGTGCCGTCTGTCAGAAGAAGCAAGGATAGCGATTGTGCTGTAGAGACATACTCAAGATAGCCAGGCTTATCATAAGAGATAGACCATTAGCACTACACCGATTTTTTAGCCTTCTGAACGTACGCAGAATATATGATTCCAAGGTAGCGCACCTAGGATACTTTCAAGTCAGCGTAACATGGAAACCGCGACAAACAAACCACATACACTGAGATACAGAATTGTCATCGAGGACCAGCGTTGCCTCTGTAATTAGGTAGACTTTCATGTGCATTCGTCTGATATGAGATTCTACTCACCCACACCAATTCAACCTATCCATTCTTAGCGAGCTGGTCAATCTGGTCATAGCATTGAAATACCTCTTGTCCGAATGTAAGTACTGAAAACACTCGTAAGATATCAGCAGTCATTTAATATTATTATGCTCACTCCAATCATATGTTACTCCAACAAAAGCGGCAACTATGAAACCGCAGCCAAGGTCAGATTGCGACATCAGCTTTAACATCCAACTGATCTCCACGAACCTAGACAATAGTTTTGGACACGATATGCATTGATGATCGGCCACCAAGTGGGATCATCTGAGATTATGGTCATATTGGTAGAGAAGGGACGTGGGTGAGAGGCGAACTTGGTGAACGTATGGTGATGATATATATACCATTCGGTGCTTGCATCGCCAAATTGATATTGAGGGATGTCATTGCCTTGCTTGACCAAAGACCAGGGGCCCAACGTAAATGGGTGGAACACTTCATGTGAACGCATATCTCAATCCCTACTATCCTTTTTTCCTCGGGCCCTCGTATCATGAGGTTTCCAACAATGACGAGCGCATGATCTTTGATCTGCATCATGGAGTTGCCGGGTGCGGTGCCGCAGCTGAGAGGCCATCAGTTTGCGCAGCTTGACTCCTCTTCCGAGTTGCAGTTTAGAATCCCTGATTGAAGATACAACGGCGTAACAACGCCATCCGTGGATATAAACAGTGCTGGAAGTGGACATATATGAGAGAAGACTCAGGCGCGTTGATATAACTACATGATGCCGGACTTATTGTTCTTCCGAAAGCTTCAAATTGTACAGGCTTACATATGTCGTAAAATACGGTAAAAGTTGACGCTAGCACGTGATCAGAAAAGAACTCCTTGCCATTATGATACTACAGCTGCCAATGCGCCGCTTATTCAGAACAAAACCCGATGCCAAAAACTGGTCTAACAACTGTGCCTAGGCGTGATGCAACCCTTCGGAATGGCTTTCTGTCTTGATGATTCTCGATGGGCATCGGCAGAGCTGGCCTGTAGTCACAATTGACCCCCCACGCATAGTACATCATATATGGTTATGACGGTGAGCCTTATACCTTGGGTTATTTGAAAACATACCCTGACGTGTTTTTTAGCTAGTGTGATCATGATGGGTACGTGATTGTCTAGTTTTCAAAATGATGTATCAAATATGGAACAGACGGTCGTTCCCGTGCGCGCAAACACATCTTCTACCCTCCAAATGTCACCTGCAGTGTGCCCATGTACTGATTTGCGTTCAACTCTAATCCTATAGCTATATTTAGGTTTCAATAAGACATCTAAAAGAGTCGAGTTACCGACAACGAGTTCGAAAGTTGTTCTGAACAACTCGGATTGGGTATAGCTCAGGGCATGCGTTCGTAAATGTCGTTTTGGCTCAACCGAGAGAAAAGTACCGCTCTGGGACTGCCGTTGTAGTAAAATGTTAGTTTTTTGAATCGGACACGATACAAATATGTAAAATAGCATCGAAATTTTCACGAGTGAGATACAACTATTAGCTAATGTGAATATATTATCGGTATACATGATGTATCTATTCAAAATCAAAATCAGATAGTTCGTCGTTGGCTTGCTGTTGCGAGCGCCCGCAAACGACGATGCTGTCTGTGAAGTCGTCTAAAATAACCTTTTCAGCGTCACTTAGCTGATCCAGGCCCAGAACAATCTTCGTGAATGTCGAATGCGTCATCTGGGGGGTAATCCTACCCTTTGTAAGTTGTATCAAGCCCTGCTCCATCAATGCAGACTCTGTAATGGCGCCGGCTGCGCCAATAGCGTAACGTATTTGACGGCGTGGGCATTCGTCGAGAAAAGTGTGGAGCCGGAAGGGCGAACACCAAATGAGTTTCATTAGGACATGAAGGATGAATGGGTTGGTGAATTTCGAGTGAATGACAAGTGCACCGTCCTGTCAAAATAGATTAAAAAAATGTTCTCGAAAATAAATAAAGACTTACTGCAAAAGTGTATTGATGCATGAACGCTAAGTCGTTATCTACGATGAGGCAGCGTATCCGATCGACACGAAAAGTATCTGGGGGGATAGTACAGCCCTGTGGTGGGAAGAGGGAATATCCCATCACGACAGCTTGTCGGATGATTGTTGCAAATGCAGTGCGAAATTTCGTCACTGCGCACCAAACGTTCGCGACGTCCTTTTCGTTAGCCGTCCATTGTGTTGCAACTAGTAGGATCAAATAGTTAGTATAAGTCAGTGTTCGCATGTTAATTCATACCGAGAAGGGCTGGTATTCTAGATCTTACTTCGGAAATGACCTTTTTGACGATGCACTTTTTGTCAGCCGCGAGAGATACCAGTGCATCATTGGAAAAGACAATGGATAATACGCATTCCTTCGAGGCCGAGATCGCTTGTTTGCGCATCTTGGGACTAATGTCAATGGCGGAACCTTCGATGGATTCCGGAGGTGCGACAGTCCCTGTCATCGTTGTGGGCGTCACAACAGGAATGACAAGGCGTGGTGTGGGGGGCAGACATCGAGTTGCATGACGACGTGCTTTCGATGTCCTTGCAGGCCCTGTAGTCTAGTAATGTCAGGTCAATTTTCGATGATGCAGATACTAACATTGACTTACATGTATCACATGGGAGTTAGGGATCTCTCCCGTCGACATTGGCCGTAAGTGGTGGAGATCCGGTGGTGGGACTGAATGAGTCTGAAATTCCTCATCATCGCCGACCCAACTGGGCGCTATGGTGGAAGGGTAAGTGCTAGACATATGTTATGAGCGCAGGCAGACTTACCTAATGACGGAGCAACATATCCAGTCGAGGATCCAGCGCCAGACACGAAGTCCTGCTGAGGATACGCGAAGTCCTGCTGAGGATACACAAAGTCCTGCTGAGGATACACAAAGTCCTGCTGAGGAGGTGCAAAGTCCTGCTGAGGAGGCACAAAGTCCTGCTGAGGAGGCGCAAAGTCCTGCTGAGAAGGCGCAAAGTCCTGATGCTGATAGTGCGCGAGATCTTCATGCTGGTAAGCTGGCTCGCGCTGGTAGGGAGCGGACTGATGCTGATGCTGGGTGAAATCCTGATGATGATGGGCGAGATCTTCTTGCTGATGCTGGGCGAAGTCTTCATGCTGATCGTAGGCAGACTCACGCTGGTGGGGAGCGGACGTGTGCTGATGGTGCGCGGAGTCCTGTGGATGGTGCGGATGGTGGGTAGTGTGAGGATTGAATGGCAGCGGCTGATTTGAGGCGTGAGGGTTAAAAAAAGACATCGGTTCGTGCGGTTGCTCATCGATGAGATTCAATTGACTGTCCGCGGGAGCATGAGATGGGTTGAGGCCCAAACCACGTGCAGGTTTCGCAAAGTTAGTCTTACCTTTGTGGGGTGGTGCACGTTTGCTGGCCATAAAGTAGAGGGAGTTGAGGATGCATGGGCGCAGAGAGCAGTCCAATGGGAATTCTACGAGAAGCGACTGTACACAAACAACACCCAAATAAACTACACGTCTTGTGACATGGGGCTGCGAACAGGATAAGGGTTAAAATGAAGGGGCACAATGTAAAAAGAACAGCTGCAGATGTGAAAAATGAATACAAATGAGAAAGGGGCCATGATGGATTTGCTAAACTGTAGCATGCATGTTACAATGCGTTCTTATCGATTGATCAGTCGAGCGCATAATGACCAGACACGTGTATACATACCTCAATTGGAAGTGCAGGGCTCATACAAATAACGGCGTACGGGAAGGGTGTGCGGACTGTGCTGCCGAATTGACCGAAACCTGTGAGTTATCTTCCTGATCTGCGGATACCAGATTATCTCTAATCGAAACCCCAGGCTCAGGTGATGGTGATCCCGATCCTTTGGCTCCAGGTTGCAAGAAATCCTTCTTGACACGTGCACCTAAGATCTTTGAGAACTGCTCAGCTTGTAGCGAGACAACGCGAAGAATCTCCATTTCATCCTCGTAGACAGCTTGAAGGTAATCTCTGTCGTCATTGACATCAGAACGGTCACGCTCAGAAAATAGCTTCCTAAAGATGTTTAAGTCTTCTTGAGCGAATCTGAGCCGTTCTTCGTTGTCGACATGCAGAGCATCCAGGAACTCAAGGAAGCGCTCGGTTTCCTCAATTTCCCATGCGGTCACCAACATGCGCTGGCGTGCAGTCTCACGAGCAGCAAGCTTTGCTTGATACCCTTTGTACAAGGTTGCAGGACGCATTTGTGTGAGGCCATTTTCCAATGTTCCGGCATGCTTTCAATAATTTAGTCTCTACAATTAAATAAAAGAAATACACGATACCTCGAGAAGTGAGTCAGAGGATACATATGGTTTGCATTCTCGCCCGGTGACACGAGCTGCATAACGGACCTCAATTGGAGCCGGAGAGGGGGGGTACGGAATGAACTTGTTGCTCATTCTCTCGCGGATAAAGCCACGTCGAGAAGCGCGTGCAGGATTTGGAGGTGTAGACGGATTATAGAATAGGCTGTCCGTCTCCGATTTGGCAGCTGCAATCTGAGGCGTCTTTGACAGTGAGGATATGCTTCTTAGTGAAGCACATATGTCAGAATGCCTCATATTGGGAGAGCTTTCTGACTTGAGACTGGAATCAAAAAGAGATGATCCAGGAGTGGTAGCACGTCCGCCTGACAGAGGTGAAGATGGAGGACTGCTTGATGGAGGAGGGCAACTACCGCCTCGAGAAACGGGGGAGGAACTGACTTGTGGAGAAGAGACTGTATGAATCATCATGTACAAAGGGTGGACTTGGGAGAACCTGCGGAAGGCTAACTGGGAAATCTGCAATTATATGAAGCGACCTGTTGGATTATCACAAGGTTGACATCAGCCGGCGGAGTCTAAAAGACTGAATCGATTTGTGCACTGCGTAACACCTAGCACTCAGCAAAGGGCAGCAAATGTGCGTATACTATCATTGTCACTCAATAGTGCTGATGATCAATGGACATACCTGTACCAGGTTTTGTCCCAACTGCAGTAAAGAGTTTCCTACAATCGAGGCCATTACCCTGCACTTGAATTCTCAGTCTACCTGTTGGCCACACGAGGAACGTCCGCATCAATTCCCTGTTCCCCCTGGGTTGCGAGGTTCCCAATCGTCAAAACCTTCTGCCACTACTGGTTATTGTCATCCGCACTCGGGATATGTCTTTGGTGTTGGCAAGAACCTGTTTGACAGGCTGCAAGACGATCAGTATAATTATCGGCGAGAAATAAATACGTATTACCCTTTCCATGATGAAGGAGAATGGGAGTTGGCGAAGTTCTTGGTTGAAAACTTAACTCAAGCTCAGATTGACAAGTTTTTAAAGTTAAAATGGGTAGGAGAGACTTTGAGTGCTGCTCAACAGGCCTGACTCCGTTGTTTCCAGTTTCACACTCGCCCAAAACCATCCTTCACCTCCAAGGAGCAACTTCTAGATTGGACCGATGCACTACCCTCCTTTGTGCCATGGAAAGTTTCGAACCTAGAGTTTACGGGCTACAAGACGACTTATCCCGTGCAACTTATTTGGCGCGATGCTCTAGAGGTTGTCAAACAACTTTTCAGCGATCCGGTTTTCGCCAATCACATTACCTTCCAGCCACACGTAGTCAATACAGGAAGTCAACGTGAGTATGGAGATTATATGAGTGCCGATATGGCATGGAAAATCCAGGTTAGTTTGGCCCTTTAAGTCTACTACTTGAAGTTAATTCTATATACCTAGGACTATCTGCCAGTAGGTGCTACGCAAGTACCTATCATCCTGGGATCCGATAAGACTCCTGTCACGCGGATTACTGGAGGGCTCGAGATGCACCCACTTTTCATCACCATCGGTAACATTGATTCAGAGGTTCGCTCCAAGGCCACCCTGCGAGCTTGGCGCTGTATCGCCTACATGCCTGTTAGCAAGTTTCGCGTGCATTCCGACTATCAGACCATTCTTCAGGCGCGGCTATGGCATAAGTGCGTTGATCTCATCTGCGCCAACCTGAAGGTTGCAGTGAGTGATGGCTGTTTTATGCCTGATCCTTCCCGACATATTTGATATGTCTTTACACCACTCATCGCCCATGTATGTGACCTTCCCGAGGCCTCCATGATCGCTGCAGTCAGCAAGAATGTCTCTCCAATCACTATGGCGACACAAGACAAATTCGGTGACGGAATTCTCTATCCTCCTCGCACTGGGAAGCACACACTACAACTTATACACGAGATCGCCAAAGAGATTGATCCTTGGGATCTCGACAAATTTCAGAAGGCAGCAAAAGCTGCCCATCTGTCTGGGGTCCACATGCCATATTGGCTTGATTGGTCGTTTTCGTGTCCATCCGTCTTTCTCCCTGGCGAAGTTTTACATACCCTTCATAAGTTTTTTGCAGATCATCCACTCAAATGGATCAAGGAGATAGTAGGAAAAACCGAGCTCGACACCCGCTTCATCACTCAGCACAAACGGGTAGGGACGCACCACTTTACTAAAGGCATTACGCACGTCAACCAAATGACTGGGCGTGAGCATCGTGATATTCAACGCACCATTGTTGCTTCAATCTCAGGCGCTGCTCCACCTAGATTCGTTCGCGCAATCCGCGCTCTCATAGACTTTTTCTATTATGCTCAAAATTCAGTCCATTCTCCCGAATCCTTACAGTCGATGGTGCAGGCACTCTCCGATTTTCATGCATTCAAGGATGCTATCATCGAGGCCGAGGCGAGGAGGGGGAAGAAGGGCGCCAAAGAAGACTTTTTCATCCCCAAGCTCGAGTTACTCCAAAGCTTCAGAGGCACGATTGAGAGACTGGGTACTTTGATGCAGTTTTCAGCCGACATGACGGAGCGCTTGCTCATCACTCACTGCAAGGATCTCTTTGCCCGAACAAGTCGACGAGTGAATGATTTCACGGAGCAGTGCATACGGATTCTCAATCGGCAGGAGTCAATGGAATTGTTCAATCTGTACGCACTAATCACTTCCCATGGCGCATCGCTCGTCAACGCCATAAACCTTGAAGATGAGGAAGTGACGACCGTCAACCCAGCACTCTCCTGGATTTCTCGTATACTCCCTGATGAAGCATATTCTGTCCATGGACCTCGACGAGTCCGTAATCATTTTCACAAGGGCATTCTTTCTGGAGATGCTCTCACTGCCTTCCATTTAACTTCAACACCAGATCTCAAGTCCCTGTCGCCCGTCGATATTCTCACCAAATATGCACTCATTGATTTTGATCACGCAGTCTCCCAGTTCATCCAGCATTCCTCCCTCTCCAGTGGCGAGAATACTCGCTGGGATCACAGACATGGACGCTTTTACGCGTGGAACAAATTTCGATTGCAACTTCACTCTGCCTTCCAACCTCGAGTGATCATGCCAAGCAGAGTGATCCAATCATACCCTCCCAGCGACCTATTTCCCCTCGGGAACTGCGATACCGTCCTTGTCGATTTTACGAGTGATGATGGCCAAATTAGTACGTATATTTTTTGCTGTCATATTCTAACACTAACGAGGTGATATTCAGCAAGTCGCGTCGCCCAAGTTCGACTTATTTTTCAGCCCAAGGTTCCACGTGCTTCCAACCTGGTTCTTCCAACATATCTTTCCAGTCCGCTCCTCTACATACAATATTTTGACTTCATCGCCAATCCCAACGACCGTCCCGAACTCGTGATGTGGACAGTAGAGCGGTCATATGTGGTGGACCAACATGGCAAACGCTATAGGCGTGGTGGTGTGGTGTTGTTGACGGATGTTACACATGCTGTCGAACTGATACCAGAATACGGTGAGAAGGTCAACAAGGACATTTCTGCGACGACGTGTTTGGAGTCCTATGACCGGTTTTTTTTGAATAACTTTGCAGATAAAGAAAGTTATCATACATTTAGTACAGAGTTCGCGTAGTATTGATCGTTAATACTATTAGTAGCGCAGATTTGAATGCATGTCAATCGATTGCTGTGATTCTGAACTTTCTGAATGGCCCAATGATTAATACAAATGACCCTACTCGGTGTTTGGAAATGCAATTCCGAACCCTAGACTAGTATTTCAACTCAATCTCAATATAATAACATATAATGCAATACATACACCCGTTTAAAAATTATAACACTATCAATATCGAGTATTTACGGTGTACAACGGAAAAGTTTGTTCCACCAATCGCGTTGCTCCGATCACCAGGCCGTAAGCTCACCGTAAGCATCAAACTTCTTTCTGACAAGCGAAATTTCAAGGTTTTTTGCTGATGGACCACCTCTGCTCTAGAAGCTCGTCAGTCCTGCTGCGCATAATCGCCGGGACCCACACATAGGGTCTTCGTCAAATGGCCTCAAACGCTATAGCTATTGGGCAAGAGCTGATCATTGTGGCAGTCGGTTAAATTGGTTTGATTTTGGTTTGATGTGACCACTAGTGTACTACATTTTGTCCAGACATGGACACGTGAAAGTCATGTGCATTGATTTCTCCGACTCACAACAACAACACCAGCTCGAGCGTCGACTCAGAGCTCTCCAGGATCATCGACCACGTCGTATGTACTTAGCACTCCGGTCTTTATTGCTAAGGTGGTAGGTACTATGACAATAGGTATGTACTTACTATTTACCCTGGAGATGGGCCCCGAATCTCTACGGTGGCTTGTGAAATTTGACGCTCACTTTGCGATGGAAGTGCTACGTGAGCCTTCTCTCAAAATTTTGGTATACTTTTATTCATTGAATGTTTATTCCAGCTGGCGTACCATTTCTGGCTGTATTCCGAGGCTGTCTTCTGTCACTTCTTCATCGTCGAGACGAGGAATATGCGCGATGCACCTCATTGTTCGTACCTAATCCTTGGTTCACGAAATTCTCTTAATGCACTCTTGAGGCAACAGCGATGATGACCGCGAGGTCTAATTCCCCCAATCACTTACTCAGCATTTTCGACGAAAGGCATGGCCCGCTCTCATGATGCTGTCGCGCATGCAGGCCTCGCTCCAACAAATTAAGCCCTGCAATATCATACAAACATCAGAATCACTGTATATGGGTAATGAACAAATTAACAGGAGATCTCGAGAAATCAGTATAAACAAACAATCCCGTGCGTGCAAAGACACATTCTACTCCCAACGTCATCTGTAACATGTCCATATACTAATAGTAATATGTCCTTCTTTGCGTCAACTTTCACCCCTCCAGCTGTATTTAGTTTTCAATAAGGATAGATTACCTCTAGAAAATCGTCAATCCTGCTCCACATAATCGCCGGGACCCGCTCACCAATAACACCCGCATCGTCAGAATCCAGGTTGTCGTTCTCTGCAGCACTGGCCACTAGGATTTGTGCGAAGGCAACCGACAGGAGTAGAACATAGAAACTGAGTTTGCTGATGTTAAGCACAATCATGTCAATGATGTTCTTTGCTAAGGTGTGGTGTTTAGGATGCGTTGTTTTAAAGAAAGAAAGATTGGGAGTTACACCCTTTAAATACCAGTTCATAATAAGCATAACAAAAACACACAGCCATCTGCATTATCTGATCACAAACCATTCCCAGATGTATTTGAATTAATTGGATGCGTCTCACCTCGTGGATGCTCTGATGATGACTGCATGCACAGCAAATGAGTGGAGTCGGATTACTACAACTAGACTGGTACATCGACATATGTAGTGTGTACTAGTTTCTGACGGTAACCTACAGCAAGTTCTATATAATGGTTTATATTTACATACTTACGGTACTCCAGCTTTTGAGGTTCAAACTATGCGGATACCATGTCATTCCCCGGGGAGCTATAAACAACGGCATTGCTCTCCGCTTGCACCGCGGATTATTTCGCTTGGGCATCAAACGTTTTGATGGAATGATGCTCGACTCGGAGGGCGGTGCGGAATAGCTTGGGTGCACAGCGCTCATGTGCAGTAGTTTGGGAAATGGCCCCACCATTCAAGTTTGGTGCCCACACAAGATTATTTAGATCTTCAAATCCATTCATACCGGGTCGTTGACAGATGATTTATTTATGTGCGCGACGCCGGAGGTAAAGTAAGGATCCCTTCCTGTGCCATCAGCACCCCACAGAAGTTAGCACTTTACGAAATCCGTACTTATGTAAACACAAAATGTTTGAAATAGATATTGTGAGGTTGAACGTTGAACGTTGAAGGACCACAATAAAAGGAGTATTGAGTTAGATATGTAGCTGAAACTGAATGTGCCGAAGTTAAGCAAAAATTTTAGCTGCCATTTTTGCCATGACGAAGTTTCAATACTGCACACACTCACTCTGGAACTGGTCCACATTCGCAAGTACACGAGCAAGATGGCTGGCTGATAGCAAGTGGGATTGCGTAAGATTGTGACTAGATGCCTAAACCTGTTAAATAAACCAAATCTGAAAGTTGAGTTACACAGTGGAGCGCTGGATCATGTAGACAGATAGCGGTTCAATTATGCTGTCAGCGAATTTCATAGAGAGTGGTAAAGCACTGACCCGGTGCAGTCTCCTTGTGAGCCTGCCACCATTCTATATCGTAGCTACCCCTTGGTTCATCCTCCGAGCATCCTAACTCGAAAACAAGGACGTCGTCCATCGCACAAGAAAGTCTTCTGCGCCAGTCCGAGCTGTCTTAGCACAATGTTATCGAGTTTCACGACCCATGGCGGTCGGACGTTAAACGATAACGTTGAAATATCAACTGGTACAGTGGCATTGAGGTGATATAAAGCAAGCTAGTTGGTCGGTCCATAGGTAGAATGACGACGTGCAATTCCCAACTTTCCATGCCCCAGTCGATCGCCTTGAATTGAAATATTGATGAAACCTTTTATTACATCAGTCTATAAAACACAGAAAAAAGGAAGATAAACTGACAGATTGTGTAACGTGGACTTTGCGCTCATCAGGCGAGATTGTGCCGGCACGTGTCGTGCGCATCGCAAGATAGTGATTGAAAAGATGACTTGGCGCAGAACGATTCACCAAGCTGACAGACATGGGGAAACTTGTGAACTCTCTCGGAATAGGAGGCGACGTCCGTGCGATCTCGTCGAACCGCATATATTGAGAAGGACGACGGAGAAGGTGGACATTCTTTTGAGTAATAAGTTTGTCTGAAGATGCCGAAGAGTCTTGGAGAAAGGCAGGGGTAGATACCAGTAACAGGTTGAGGAATGTGCAGAGTCAATGATTTCCTGTGGTGTCTGATTCAGTGGTCTGTACGGCCTGGAGCGTGAGGAAAAGAACATGACGGGGAGAACGGCTTCGAATTGAATTGATACTGCAACTTGAATGCAACGACTCGGAGATCTCACATCACTGCTTGGAGTGCCTGATATACTCAAGGCTCGGAGGAATGATTGTATCGCCGCAAATTTCATGGTGGCCGCATGAGCTGATGCGCCCAGGGATCCATCATCCGAGGTTGCTTTAGATACTCACTGCGTGGCTCGGAGATGATATACCTTGAGTCATTTATTTTGCAAACATACCCTGACGCGTTTCGTAGCTAGTGTGATCATGTGACTGTTTAGTTTTTAAGATTCGGATGTATTAGTAAATACGGAACAGACGGTCCGTAGTCTGCGACGCACACAATTCCTGTGCGCGCAAACACATCTTCTACCCCCAATGTTATCTGCAATGTGTCCATGTACCGATATGTCCTTCTTTGCGTCAATTCAACCCTTCAGCTGTATTTAGGGTTTCAAAAAGGATGGGGGTCTAGAAACTCGTCAATCCTGCTCCACATAATTGCCGGGACCCACCCACTCACACACACTATCCACATCGTCAGAATCCAGGTTGTTGTTCGCTGCAGCACTGACCACTGGGACCTGTTCGAAGGCAAGTGACAGGAGCAGAACATAGAAACTGAGTTTGTTGATGGGTCATGTTGATAGTATTCTTCGCTTGTGGTGTTTGGGATGCGTGCTTTTAAAGTGAGATTGGGAGTTACACCTCTAGTTTCATACCAGTTCATGAGGAAGCATAACAAACAGCCATCGCACTTGAGTATTACTATTACCGTACTAATTAGTACTGGTTTGGTCAAAAAATTATTTGCAACCACATATTCTACCCCCAATGTCATCCGCAACGTGTCCATGTAATGATCAGTCCTTCTTTGTGTCAACTTTTCAACCCTCCAGGCTCCAGCTGTATTTAGGTTTCAATAAGGATGGAGTGACCCTAGAAACTCGTCAGTCCTGCTCCACATAATCGCCGGGACCCACCCACCAAAGGTACTCGCATCATCAGAAGCTTCCAGCGGTGCAGCACTGACCACTAGTATCTGTGCGAAGGAAACTGACAGGAATAGAACATAGAAACTGAGTTTGTTGATGTTAAGTACGGTCATGTTAATAATATTCTTCGCTGAGGTATGGTGTTTAGGATGCGTTGTTTTAAAGTAAGATTAGAAGTTACGCCCTCTAAATACTAGTTCATGACCGCATATAATGAATCGTAGCAAACAGCCATCGCCCTTGAAGCTTGAGCGCTGAGCGCTTGAGCATCGCCTAACTAATTTAGTCAAAAATCATTTCTAGATGTATTTTAATTGACACTTGTACTATGCTCTGATGGCGACTGCCAGTGCATGCACAGCAGATGACTGGAGTCGACTTACTACGACTAGACCAGTACATTAGCATATGCAATGTGCACTACCTGATGGTAGCCCACAGCAAGTTCCATGTAAAGGTCCAGTTACATACTTACGGTACTCCATCTTTTGACTCAAGGTTCAAAGTATGCGGCGGATATGACATTTGATCGCCATAAGCAACAGCATCTCTCTCTGTTTCCACTGCGAAGAATATTGATCTCCATCAAGCATTCTGCACTGTTTTGCTTGCGCATCAGGATTTTTGATGTAATGATGCTCGCCAATCAAGAAGGCGATGCGAAGTAGCTTGGGTGCATAGCTCTCATGTGAGTAGTTTGGAAAATAGCCTCACCATTTGATGTTCACATCGAATCATTGAGATCTTCAAGTCTGTTCGTACCTGATCGTTGGGAGATGACACGTTTACTATGTGCGCTACGCCACAGGCAAATCAGCTGTTGACATGGAATCCTTCCTGTGCAATCAGCACTCCATGGTAG